CGATTTTGGAAAATGATCTTGATTTAAAATTTAATATTTATCATTACAGTACCTTTATTTTTCATGCAAGAACTTCAACAATAGTTATTCTTAATACCAGAATGCAAAAAGGCAACATTTTTTGTTCAACATTTTAAAATCAGTATAATTTAAAATCAATACCTCTGAAGATAAAGTAAATGTTAAAACATTCAAATGCTCATTTTTACATATTGATGGCAAATATGAGTTTACTCATGTTATTTTTAGTGGGTGTAATTGAGGATGCCACTACTATTTTTCTCTTGTGAACGAAAGCTTTTTGAAAGTGTTATCCCCATCAGATTGTCGGGTAATTATCTAGAAGTATAGTAAAAATCTTAAAAAATTTCTTGACATTTCTTTATAAAGATATAAATTCAAATCCTCTACAAGATAAATCATACAATTTTTGAAATACAGGACTTAATCCTACATTCCCTGTAATAGCCAAAGTGTTTGTTTCTCGAATGTTTTCATTGGTTGATGTCCTGTATCAAATTTTCGTTGAAAGTGAAATGATTATATTATTAAAAAAGAAACCTTGTAGAAGAGGAAATAAATAGACTAGTGGTGATGAACATAAAACATTGAGCAAGAACCGAATCAAAATTATCTGATTGAATTAAAGTTAGGAAATGTATGGTCGTGCTGTTGAATGATTGTAACATCACCCCTTCCAACCTCCTTGTTTTGTAAAATGTTCCTAAAGAATGTCAGATTATAGTTGGTCTACACAGCATTGGTAGAAAATATTAGGGAGCCTACGTTATGTAACAGTAAAAAAATTGATTATGGTGTTATCACATAGGTCCAAAGTTTTCCAAACCCACAAACTGAGATCAAAACCCGTTGATCATCTAAGCAGGTCCCAAAGGGCTTTATAAAAAAAGTTTATAACTTGCATACTGTTCTGTTGGTGGTGCCTTGAGCATTTCAAATAAAAAATTGATATATAAGAGATGGAAGAATGCTTTAAATTAAAAAGTAATAATATAAATAATTAAGGTTTACATGGAATATTTGTATGGAAAGTATATAATTTTACTAATATTTGTATTTATTTTTATTAAGAGAACACAAAATTATGCATTCATTATTGTATGAGTTGCAAGTGAAGTTAATTGAATTAAATTGGAATTAATACTACTTAATTGACTGTAAAGAATTATAACACTCATTCATATATTATTATTTTATATTTATTTTTGTCTGGAATATCCTCGTCAGTTGCATTGATTCAAGTTTTATATTTGAGTAATGTATTTTTATTGTAAGCATCTTTACAATTGTGAAGTATGCAACTGTTTAAAAATGTGTAGTTTCATTTCATTTCATTTATTTCGTCAAACAGAAAACAAAACGTACAGAAATAACAATACCAAAAATCAGAGACAGGATAAACAAAAAGCAAACTAAATTGCTGTATAAAGTTTCTCCACTGATTTAATTATACATAAAATATATAAATAAATTCATAGTTGCAAATACTACTAC